ATTCGACTTATGGATTTTAATAATTTAGATTTGGCATTCATTAGATTCTTAAAATACACCTTCATTCATTTAACTTTGTAATTCATGTAAGTTGTATTGAATATTAAAAAGAATTATTTTCATACATTGGTTTCTTATGGCATCTAGCTAAAGATGTTATTCGAGCCGAGGCAAGTGGGATATCTCATGTTCGAACTTGTGATTATTTAATAAACAAGCTTGATTAGATATTCGAGCTTAGCATTTGAAGTGTGTGAAATAGTTGAGTTCGAGCTTTCACGTGCTAAAAATGAATTGTGTTCGTGAATAGTTGATCCGAATAATAGCTCAATGTTAAGCAGCCCCGGGTAGAAAAAAATCCTAGCTACGCCCCTGGATGTTAATATGTTCAAAAAAATACATCATCAATGTGTATATGCCACATAAACCGGGGACATATTAACATGTGCCCACCGTGGGTAGGGAACATTACATTATATATATATATATATATCATTTTCATTATATTTAGTAATGTCATAATCGTTCCTTTATTATATTAATTAATTTAAATACAAAATTGTCTTTTAAAAGGGACAAAGTTATAAAGCCGTGCATCGCACGTGTACTGTACTAGTCTATATAAAAAGGTTGATGGAAAAATCAGTTATAAAAAATTGTAAAAACTTGGTCAAATCCTTTGACTTACCACTTATAGAAATTTAATTCAAAATTCAAATGTTGCATATCATCACGCTGTGTGTGTGCTACACATAGTTTGGAATAACTATCTTCCCTTTTTTTTTCGTATTTAGTTTTTGAGTAATACTATTTAGCCTACCTGGATGACAACTTGAGTTACAACTCAAGTGTAAATGCATTATTAAAAAAAGTAAAAAATAATGTATTTACACTTGAGTTGTAACCCAAGTTGTCATTCATGTTGGCTCTATAGCATTACTCTTAGTTTTTAGGTCAGTTTTCGAAAATTCCGGTTTGAACATTTCAAAGATTTGGTTTATATATTAACCTTACTTGTCTAAACCAAATATAAAAAGTATCACGTTTTCGTTTATTTAACGAAAAAACATGTGCCAATTTTAAAAATAATTGATTTCATTATTTTCAAAAACTCTTTTAAATAATTTAACGATAATCATGTAAAACAGGCAAATTTTTTATTTTGTTAAACAAATTTAAGCAATTTTAAAGCGCGTAAGAAACTTATATATATATTTATTATATATATATTTATAACATATATATATTTATAATATAATATATATTATATCAATCCATGTTTCTCTCCGATTTCTTTAAAATTAAATTTACAAACACATGTCAGCTTTTAAAATAATCAATTTCATAATTTCTGAAAACTCTTTTAAATATTCGACCATAATCATGTATAGCAAATCAAATTATTAGTTGTACATCACGCGTGCATATCAAAATATTATATATATATATATATATATATAT